TATATATATATATATATATATATATATATATATATATATATATATATTTAGCATATACAGTATATATATATATATAATATAAAAGCATTTTAAACCCTTCCCACAGTCTAGCAATATTCTAAACAATGTTTCTAAACTCTAAACGTTCTAAAAGAGTTGGATTCTCAGTTCTGAAAGAGCAGAGCATGTCATGATTTCAGTTCCTGCCTCCTCTGCTCTTTGCCACCTGCAAGCGCTCTTGGCCACGCCCACTTCTCCCCACGCACGCTGAACAGCAGGAAGATTATCCTGCAGCTCTGGATTGCACAAATGTGCAGCAGGTGCTAAATAATCTAAAATAATTCATCCATCCATCCATCCATTATCTTTTTCCTGCTTCTTCCATTTTTGGTCACGGGGTTGCTGGTGCAATCACTGTGCGAGGTGCGGGGTACACCCTTGAGGGGTCGCAAGTCCATCACAGGGCTAAAATAGTTCAATTAAAAAAAAAAAAAATCATGCCGATCGTGCGGCTTATCCATCAATCAGCCAATTGTGTGTCATGTCCACTCTTATTTTGAAAAACCGTGATAGAGCAAGTCCGCGATAAACAAACCGCGAAGTAGTAAAGGTAAGCACATTTTGGGTTCTCATGACCTGTCCTGCACATTGTTGTAATCTTTTCTTTTATGAGAGTTGTTACTTTTTTTTTTTTAAATACATGAAAATGTTCAGCTCTTTCGAAACATTAAGGATATGAGTTTAAGCTTCTGTAACCTTTACACTTTTTAAAATACAATGCTATTTGCACTTTTTAATTTAAAATAAAGGATATCTACACATATGACTTAAAAGCTTTGTGCTTTAAGAAATCTATTTCAGCATATTTTTAGGCTCTTAATTACTGTTGTGCTAATATTAGCTTTTAGCTACTCTTCTGCTAGTTTTATTTTAATTTACTGTTTTGCTGGTCTTAACTTTTTAAAACGGTTCAACTAATTTTCACTTTTTGCTTTTGTCTAATTAATAATGTTATTATTATTATTATTGTTGTTGTTTTTATTTAACAAATAAGAGCTTTTAGCTTCTGTTTTCTGTGTTTTAGCTTTTAGCTTATGCTCCAATTTTATATTTTAGCTACTGTTTTTCTGGCCCTAACTTTAGCTGCTGTTTTGCTACTGTCATGTTTGTTCTGATTGTTGTAATCCTAACTTATCATTTATAGCTTTCTGTACAATCTCAGCAGTCTCACACAGTATTTACATTATTATAAATAGTACATGTTTGAAGAACATCTTTAAATGTTTTGTAAGTCATTTGGTGAAAGCTAAATGAAATCAGTGTCTATTTGAGTTTAGGAAGCAGGAAAATGTATTCATTTATCTTTACTAACACTGTGCTTCTGGGGCCACCTTTGTTCTCTTTGTTCTGCAGGACATTCAGTTATTTCCCAGTACCTGCTGAACTACTTCCCAGGTTTGGACATTGAGAGGAGGAACTGTCATGGATTCACAGCTCTGATGAAGGCTGCCATGCAAGGCAGGCACGAGTGTGTGAGAGCTCTCATGCTGGCAGGTGTGTACAAACTAACACGCTACAGTCAAACACGTTTACATCCTGACGGAGTGGACGTGGTGTGACTGGAAACACGGGTCTTCATCTGTGTGGCAAGCACGGCTTCATTCATGAAACAGCACAAACATAAATAAGTTATTTGCGTTTTCTTGACGTGTCACCATAAAAGCTGAATTTAATGGATTTTTATTTTCTATTTGTCCACATTAATAAATGTAAACAGAAAAAAAAATGTTTTAAATAATGCAATATATTCACATATACATACAAAGTATATACGACTGCAAAATGCATGCTTTGAAGCCAAAACCATTATCTTCACAGATCATCAAATTATTTAAACAAGCACCTGTGAGCATTTTAGGAGTTAAATGGTCTACATCTGTCACAGAATATACAGAACAACACCTGTAAATAGTAAGAGCCACCGAGACAGCATGAGGACTAAGGAACTCCTCACAGATCAGAAACAAAGTTCTAAAAAATTATTTTACTTTTCAATATTTTTGCAACCCCGCTGTTTATAAGAAGTTAGCAGAATCAGTACGTGAATGCAGCTTCACTCCACATTACACCATCTCAACATGCCTTGTGTTTACAGGAGGGGATATTCAGGCCCGGGACGACGGTCGCCGTATGACACCCAGAGAGTGGGCTCTTTTCACCGGGCGACACGTAACAGCCAACCTGATGCTTCGGCTGATGTCAAGGCCCTGTGCTGAGCAGTTCTGTGACTCATTCTCTTTAGAGTGGTCCATGTTGGAGGTTAATACTACACTTTTCACTTCAGTCATAAGATTGAATTTATTACCAACTATTTATATAAACATGTTCCTCTTCAGGAGCTGGTGTCCGAGGCCCAAAGACCGAAGACCTGCTGGAGGCATATAAGCAACCTGCTTTCCTGCTGCTCTTACAGGTTTTTCATGAACAACAAGATTAAACCTGTGGACGATGGTGTTTTGGACCACATGGTTCAGATAACTACTGGCATCTCGAGTCCATTCATTGCCACAGCCTGCCACACAGTGTGTCCAGGCAGCCCACCGTGCATCGGAAAGCGTCGTCCAGCCGTGCAGGAGATTCTGAGGAGACAACGAGTGGCAGAACTGAAGCGCCTGGGTCCGGACCGACTGAACAACTACAAACGATTCTTCCAGAATTCCCGGGTTCTCCTCATCCCCAAAGTGAAGGATCGCAGGGCAAGCTTGCAGCCCCAGATCCTCAGGGAAGTAGCCACGATGTCCACGATGGCCCTAAGGCGAGCCAGTCTGCTGCCGCTCAACATGCTGAGGCGAAGCAGCGTGCGGCCAGGCATCGTGGTGCCAAAGGTCCTGCTCTGCAAGGCTCCACCTCAAAGCTTCATACCAGCAAAACTCAAGAGGAACAACAACCAGAACCAACTCCAGATCCCTAAATGGAACTACAAAATGAAAACAAAAGAAAAGCGGCAGGAGGAAGAAAGGCAAAGACTGTTTTCTATGAGAAGAGTGAGGTGAAGGATGGAATAATCCAACAAAGCAGGATGGGACTCGGTGCAACCTCCTGATGGGGCTTGAAAGAGTTTCTTTGTGACAGAGCTGCTACAGAGCACAACGTTTCAACCAGAAAGACTGAACTGGTAATGTGAACTGAACGGCAAGCTTTTTTGTTTTGGTTCCATGACACTAGTGGACTTGTTGCCTTGTTTCTACTTGACTTCACATCCTCTCCATATGAGGTCTAATTTATGGAGTCACAGAACAAAAATCTATGCTTAGTCATTATGTTAGAGTGTGGATTTTGTATTCATCTTCACAGCTTTTTATTATATTAAATAATACATTTTAGAGCAGACGGCAATGCTTGGCTTGGAAATGAGGAGTTCTGACACAGACAAACTAAGATCACTGGCTGGCCATGAAAGCAGGACAGGACAGAGCACAGAGGAGGGAGTCATTCAGCTCGGATGCAAGGTACAACAGGTTATCTTTGTGGAAAAAGGCGCTCCAGCTGAGCTGATGAAGATCTTTGTGGGGAAGCTGAAAGGCATCCATCCATCCATTTTCTTCCACTTATCTGGGGTCGGGTCGTGGGGGTAGCAGCTTAAGTAGGGAGGCCCAGACTTCCCTCTCCCCAGCCACTTGGTCCAGCTCCTCCGGGGGAATCCCAAGGCGTTCCCAGGCTAGCTGAGAAACATAGTCCCTCCAGCGTGTCCTGGGTCTTCCTCTGGGTCTCTTCCCAGTGGGATTTGTCCAGAACACCTCGCCAGGGATGCGTCCAGGTGGCATCCTAACCAGATGCCCGAGCCACCTCAATTGGCTCCTCTCGATGTGGAAAAGCAGCGGGTCTATTCTGAGTCCCTCCCGGATGATCGAGCTTTTCACCCTGTCTCTAGGGGAGAGCCCAGACACCCTGCAGAGAAAACTCATGCCGGCCGCTTGTATCCGTGATCTCGTTCTTTTGGTCACAACCCAAAGCTCATGACCATAGATGAGGGAAGGAACGTAGATCGACTGATAAATTGAGAGCTTTGCCTTTTGACTCAGCTCTCTCTTCACCACGACAGACCAGTACAGCGCCCGCTTCACTGCAGACACTGCAGACACTGCACCTATCCACCTATCGATCTCACACTCCATTTTTCCATCATTCGTGAACAAGACCCCAAGATGCTTGAACTCCTCCACCTGAAGTAGGACCTCCTCCCTGACACGGAGAGGGCACTCTACCCTTTTCTGGCTCAAGACCATGGCCTTGGATTTGGAGGAACTGATTCTCATCCCGGCCGCGTCACGCTTGGTTGCGAACAGCTCCAGCGAAAGCTGTAGATCACGACTTGATAAAGCCAATAGAACCACATCATCTGCAAAAAACAGAGAAGTTATCCGAAGGCCACCAAAACAGATTCCCTCAACACCTCGGCTGCATCTAGAAATTCTGTCCATAAAAGTTATGAACAGAATCAGTGACAAAGGGCAACCTTGGCGTAGTCCAACTCTCACTGGGAACGAGCCCGACTTACTGCTGGCAATGCGGACCATGCTCTGACGCCGGTCATACAGGGACCTAACAGCCCGTATCAAAGGGCCTGGTACCCCATACTCCTGGAGTACCCCCCACAGGGCTCCCCGAGGGACGCGGTCGAACGCCATCTCCAAGTCCACAAAGCACATTTAGACCGGTTGGGCAAACTCCCACACACCCTCCAGGACCCTGCTGAGAGTGTAGAGCTGGAAAGGCAGAGTTAAAATAAACAGTCGAAATCTTCACTCTGACATCAATGTCTAACATCATCATGGCATTCTGCTGTCGGGGCTGTATGTCTGTCCAGGAACAGTGAGAGACGCCACGTAAAGGCTTTCATTAGCTCCAACAAAGTTCACTCAGGTCCTCTGGATGGTTTCTTTGTGTCAAAACATTTTGTTCTTCATCCAAAGGACTTCATCAGTTCATCACATAGTGGGCCAACCAGTTTAATGGTGATAAGATCATTTTTAGAGTCCGCTCTCTCCCCCGTCGACCCCTCTGAGGCAGCCATAGCCAAAATGGTTCAAAACATCAAAGTTCATGCTCAATAATCCAGGTAAAAATCCAACAAAGTTGTCAGGTCCTCTGGATGGTTACTTTTTTATTATCTTATCACCATCAAACTGGTTGGCCCACTATGTGAGTGTGCTCTTGTGGGACTGACTTTGTTGTGGATCCTCAGACAGATGAAGTCCTTTGGATGAAGGACCAAACGTTTCAACAACAAAAGAAACCGTCCAGAGGACCTGACAACTTTGTTGGATTTTTACCTGGATAATTGAGCATGAACTTTGATCTTTCATTATCCGTTCCTCTGATAATGTTCATATTATTGCACTAAAATGACAGAAAAAAAAGACTTAACTCAATAGTTAGCGATTAAATCCCTAAAGGTTAAGCATTAAATAAGATACATTCAGGATGAAAATCTGGTTTTAGGGTATGCTACAAGTTTACTCCGAAGAATTTTAACAATAAATTGATGCAGTTTCCCCCAATTATGTTTGTGACAGTGGAGGACGTCTTCATTAACATGACGTGATTGAAACTTCTAACCAAGCTAGCAGTGCAAGTAGTTTAAAATGAAGATGATTCATCTTTTCAAAATCATCTCACTTCTGTCCCAAAGACAAGGAAGCCAAACATATTGAAATGTTTTAGAATAAAAATGCACAAACGTATATTTTAAATTACAGGTTGGTTACATGAAACAATAAATAATATTTTGAAACATAACGCTTAGTAACTCTCGCAACCATGAAAAAAAACACAATTTTTTTTTTTCAAACAAACGTTTTGCGTTTTACAAAAATCTATTTTCTATAAATATGCAAAGGTATTTAACTTTAAAAGTTTAATTGTTGTTTCTGTTTGACTAAAATACGTTTAAAATAGGAAGTTATTGGGAATCTTGCTTTATAGGCCTACAATCCCTCCCTCCCTCCCTCCCTCCCCATCCATCCATCCATCCATCCATCCATCCATCCATCCATCCATCCA